CCCCCCCCCGCCCTTGTTAATTGCAGAGCATGTATCGAGAAACTGGCTCGTAACGATAGATTCTGAATTTCTGTTTCATAGAAACGAAGGGCCTTGCTCCGCTACACAACATTTGAAATGCATCTGAAGCTGGTAGTGGTCGGAGTTCATTCACGATGTTCGATCAGTCTGAATGTTTCTGGTCCAAAATCTCAGTCCAGTTACCCGTCGAAGGTTGGGTTGTGTAAGGAAATGAGCAAATGATAATGACAACGGATTCGGTTGCACCATTCCATATAAATCCAGATTACAACAACAACAAAAAAAAGAAAAAAAAAAGAAAAAAAAAGAAAAGGCAGATATTTTCGAATCTGAACTGAGACTTCTGAAAGTCAATTGCAAACTGAAAACGCCAATGTTAACAATTTAGCTGTCCTACATCAGCGCTTGGCGCCCATAGCACAGACAGACAGCTCCTATGACCTGGGTAGTCGAAAAGTTTGAGCAAAGCATTGAAGTCACATGATTAATGAAAGGCCTCTTTTTGTCGCCTCCAATCACCAACGTCAACAATTTAGCTCTCCTACATCGGCACTTGGCGCCCTGAGCACAGCGAGACGGCTCCTATGACCTGGACTCCTATCTATAACAGGTCTATAATGAAGATCTTACACAGCACGTTCTCAAACTACTTTCCATGGTGATTGCTTCGTACTTGGCAAGTTATTGAATTGTTTTTCCATGCTGGTTGTTGCTTACAGGGCAGCGGTAGGTATCGGGCACCAAAATCAACTGCTTTACGACATTCTGGAATCCTTCCAAAATGCAGACTCTGATATGCAAGGTACAATTTCTGCTCTTCATTAGCATTTAAACTATCTCTGTCTCTCTCTCTCCAAGCTACGCATAGTCATGCATGCCCTTGTCATTTTTATCGTCTATGCTTTGTCACATATATTCTTTGCCTTCCTTCGAGGATCTGCTGGTCACCGGACGTTCATCCTTTTGGAAATGTCATCCTCGTTGATCGTTGTGTCATTATCATTGACTCTCGACTACGCAACTGGGCTTCTGCTTTGAGTCTCCATATTCTGCTAGACTTGCTCACTTCCCTCTCCACTGTTCCTGGCTCATTGAGTCTGCATATTCTTGGGGAGCTGCACTTAGCATTGCCCGCGGATCCCCCGGTCCTGCACAGATAAATGCCCGATATTTTGTAAGCCCCGTCCTGTAGGCAGTGACATGCAGGAAACAGGCATTTACATGCAGGAAGTCTGCAAGCCCTGTATGTCCTGGTGCGTTCGGGGTAGCTATCATGCAAGCTCCATCCTGTTGACATTGACATGTGGGATCGTATTCTGAAGAAGCTGCTCTCAGCTTGCCCATCCATTTGCTTTTCATGCTACTGTCTTTCCCCGAATAGAATGTGCGGCCATTATAGCAGTGTTTGGGGCAATGTTCAGTCTTGGTACAATGATAATAACAGTATGTTCCATTTGGGAGAAGATGGCAGCCTATCTTTCGCTGTGCTGTGAATGCTAAGAAGGCATTGTACTTTTTTCTCCAAACGGAGTTACGTGGCACGAAACTGACAAAAACCTCAAAATGGAAAAGTGGATTTGTCTGTCGTTTGTGACATGTGTTCAAGAAGACTAGGATGGCCCCTGCACAACGATGATACACACAAACGTCGTTTTCATTCTCTACCATGACGAAGTAGTTGAGAGGGATCTTTTCTTTTAAAACAGGAAAAAAAAGGACAAGAGAAACTGATTTATCTGAGGTTTTGTCTGTTTGTCCTCTTGTCCTTTCCATGGTTTGGTTGCGTAGGGTTGACGGTGTCATCTGCGAGGATGCAATACTACGAGACGGTAATGCACCTGTTCGAGCGTTACGATCAGGGCGAAGGGGCGTTACATTTCGCTCGTGCAGCTTTGCAAGAGATTGAATCGATGGGCGAGGAGGAGAATGGAGAAGCAGGCGCTAACCTTATGCAGACGGACGATGAAGCGAAAGCTGTGGAGAGTGTAACAGCCCGCAACGCAGTCAAGGGGCGCTTATGGGCAAATATGTTCAAGTTCTACGAGGACATGGGAAAGCACAAGGCTGCCTACTGTGCTGCTCTTTCTAATCCTGATCCAGAGAGCAGAACTGTTTGCCTCCGCCGCTTTGTGGTTGTACTCTCTGAGCATTCGGCGGGAGAGGTCAGTGTTGGCAGAAAATAGCCCCCCTTATCTCATCATGCGGGTAAGGTCGTTGGCGTGCATGTTCTAGTATGAACCACCTGTACTTTTGACTCGTCGCTGGCAGAGCGTGGAAACGGCCTGCGCACCAAAAAAATAAGAATCGGCGTGGGCCTCCTTTTGACTGGTGCCGCCAGCCATTTTGCTGCGGTAGGCCTTCCGGGGATACTTGTGGCGCATGCTGACGTGCGTGTTCTAGTTTAAACCACTGGCATTTTTTGTTTATGCCTGGCCGATCGTGGAAACGGCCTGCGCACCAAAGAAATGCGAATTGGCGCGGACCTCCTTTTGGCCGGTGCCGCCAGGTATTTTGCTGCGGTAGGCCTTCCAGTGAAACTTGTGGCGCGTTAATGGCCGCATCGGAGAATCATGGCCGGGCAGTGTACTGGTGGTTTAAGCCGCCAGTTCAGCCTAGCAATGACTCCGACCACCCGTATGGCCAGGAAGGAAAACAAAGTTGTGTCCCTACTGGTCGCAGCAGGCAGCAGAAAATGCTACCTGTTGCCGCTCGAAGGCCCCGAAGTTGTTTTGCAATATGAGATTTTTTTCGGTTATCCTTTTCTTTTCTTTTTTTCGTCGGAAAGATCAGAACCAAATCTATGCCTCTGTTTTTTCTCAGAATTTTTCGCACACAGTTGTGAGCGTGGAAAGTTGCCAAAGTCAATGCGCTCATTTTGTGTGCACACGGGTGCATCTGTGTGTGTGTGTGTGTGTGTGTGTGTGTGTGTGTGTGTGTGTGTGCGTGTGTGTGTGTGTGTGTGTGTGTTGTCATGTTCGCTATAAAGTGTATACACTCATAAAAAGCATGACTGTGCCAGACTTTTTTGTTGGACTTTCACAGACTCATCAAGAGGTTTTATGTGTGTGTGTGTGTGTGTGTGTGTGTGTGTGTGTGTGTGTGTGTGTGTGTATGTGTTCACTGTTTTGTCATATTTGCTATAGAGGGCATACACTCAAAAAAAGCATGACTGTGCCAAACTGTTTAGTTGGACTTTCACCGACTCATCAGGAGGTTGTGTGTGTGTGTGTGTGTGTGTGTGTGTGTGTGTGTGTGTGTGTGAGAGAGAGAGAGAGAGAGAGAGGTCAATGACCTGATGTCTGATCAGCAGCTTCCATTCTGTGCTCACACACGAAAGGGTTATAGAAGGTGCCGCTGTCTTCGAGAAAAACCCGTGCTGGGAACGAACATCGAAACATCATTCAGTAAGTGAACGCACTTGTGACGCGTTTGTCCAGGTTCGCGTTCGTGCTAAGATAGCATTGGATAATTAGCATCAAAGACAAAAATCTTGCTATGTTCTAGAATCTCCAAGTGACGCACACAAAGGAATGCGCAGGTGCCACAATCAGCTTTTCTCAGACCAGGTTCAGATACATATTGACATTCCCAATGTGGTTGGCATTCTTTTGTGCTTATTGCAGATGCTTTGTGGCACAGAGCTTCCATATGATAACCTACTGGACAAGGTGGAAGAGGAATTGCGATGGAAGGTAGGAAAAAATGGAAAATCGTTTAAAAAAACTTTAAAAAGGGGGAAAAAAGGAAACCTCTTCCTGACATGGGATGGTTTTAAATTTTAATTCAGCAATTTTTTTAATGTATTTTTTCCTGGAAACCAAGCTATGTTCTTCCCTCAATTATACCTCACATTGTCTACCTATCTATATGTCTAGGCACCAGCGTCCACCAAGAAAAAGGAAAAGGGTATTCGCTGGCTGTCCTCCGGGGCATCCATTAAAATTGGCACGATAAGGCGAAGATTAATTAGCATGGCCCCTATGCTGACTCTCCGAACCAGGAGAGGGAAGGGCGGGTGGAGGGGGAGGGGGGAGAGAGGGGGAGAGAGGGGGAGAGAGGTTATGTGGAGGCAGAGCAAGCACCATAGCAGAAGCGAAACACTGAAGTAATAGGTTTGCTGTTTCAGGTCTCGACAGCAGGCAAGGCAATGCAATCAATTCTGAGAAGTGAAACAGATTATCATCCCTTGGGGGGGAGGGAAACACTAGGGAATTTGAAAACAGAACAGCAGAACAGATGGTCATTCTCTCGGAGAACCGAACTGGAAGACCACGTGCTGTAGTGTTCCAATGCAGCAGCTGTAGTGTTCCAACGCAGCGGCCATAAAATCATGCGTCATGCCTACTTGTTGGAAAAGGCGGACGGCTCCTGACCATTGTTTTTTGTTTTTTTTTGTTCAGACAACAGAGTATGTCAGGAAAAAGGGGGCTCGGACAGACTGCTACTATAGAAACGGCGTTCGTAAGAGTATTTTTTCTTTTTTCTTTCCTTTCAAAATTTTGGCCATTTTATGCATGTCGTCCTTGCCTAGGGGCCATGCTAATCTTCTCTGTGTCGTTCCAATTTTAACAGATGTCTCGGAGGACAGTTTTTCTTTTCATTAACTTGGACCATGTCTCAATTTGTGTGTGTCGTCCTTGCGCAGGGCCTGTGCTAATCTTCTTTGTATCGTTTCAATTTTAATGGATGTCCCGCAGGAGTAAGTTGTTGTACATCAGACTGAATCAAGATTCAAACTTATACAATCCTGAGTGGTAGACACTGAGGTAGGATGGTGGGGGTGAGGGTGCCCCAGGGACTAATGATGAAACAGTGGTAGGTTGGGAAGGGAGTCTCATAAGGAACGGCGTCCTCTGTAGATCATCTGGATATTAACCAAATGGCCCACTACCGAAGGCAACTGTCATATGTCTTTGGTATCCAAGCTCTACAACACCCTGGGCTTAAACCACTAGTACCTCGAAGCCTATTTTCGACAAGTTTTGGTCTACCTCCAAACTTTCAGGAGGCCGACCCCGCCGTTGATAAATCTGATCGGCGGCCATCGTTTCGTTTCGGCCTCCTGAAAGGTCAGAGGCCGAGTATTTTCGAACCGACAAAGGTACTAGTGGTTAAAAAAAAAGAAAGTTAAAAAAAATTAAAAAATCAAATTTCAAAGTTCAAACTTATATTCTAGTTTCGGAAAACCGATTAAACAGCCTGAGTCCTTTTGAGTCTGAAAGGAAGTCTACGAGGGAATGGCAAGCTAACACAGTCAATCCTCCTCGAGTTTTTTTTTTTTTTAAATATTTGGTTTTACTCAGCGAGTACCATCATCTGGATTCGAACTCGGGTCGGTATGCCAACACTTTATGGGTGTACCCACTGAACTAGGCTCCTGGGTAGTTTACCCACCTTTGTACACTTTCCGATCCTGTACAGTGGCGATAAGGGTGTGTTGCGCCCAGTTAGAAGACAGTATTTAGTGACTGAATGTGACGAGTGGTTCCGACATGCACAGAACAGACCCTGTATCATTGTGGTATTTTTCCACTATTTTACATCACTCTCTGGCCAAAATGTACGAAGCAAAATTCAAACTTGGAACTGGAGCTCAAAGTATTCAAGATCGCGGGAAGGGATCTGGGTTAGCGTTTAAGTGTGAAACCAGACAAAATTCCGCTTGGAATCACTGACGAAACTGTCCCTTGTTACTAAATCAATAAGAAGATCACGAGTTCGAATCAGATGGATATGGTAACGGCAAGGACTACCCACGTTAGGGAGAAGAAAAGGGGAACGGATTCCGAAAAAAAGACGGCCCATGTTGTTGTCTTGCAAAATATGTTCAGCTGTGTTTCTGATTGAGATGCATCTGTGGGTTGTCTGTCATGCCACAAACTGTCACAGGCGGAGAACTCCGACGTGCATGCACGCCCGAACCCCTATAATCTCTTATATTGCTTTCATATGAAGAGGCATAACTGGAGAAGGGCTGCTCTATACATGTATCGCCTTGCAATGAGGCTTGAACAGGAGTTGATTAGCCAAGGTTCTGCGACTCTTACCAATCTTCAGCAGCAAGCACATTGCCTTTCGTCATCACTAAATGCACTTCGGCTCCTGGATCCCAACAAGGCCTGGCTTGATGTCACTGACTACGAGCACATGCCAGAGTTCCCCACACCAACCAAGCGTTTGCGATTCTCTTCAGATGCAAGTGAGTTCTCCTTCGCATGTCAGCGACCCGTCATCCTTTTCACCCGGACCTTGGCAAGCCATCCATCTCTTGAGCCAGTGATTGCCAGTACGGTTGCTTGCAGGGTTGCCCGGAGGGGAAAGTACAGTACAGTACGGACATCCTTCGGATCCTGACCTTGCTGAATGTAATATGATGATGTTGATGATGGTGCGATGATGATGATGATGATGATGATGATGATGATCGATGACGATGATGATGATGATGATGAGGATGAGGCTGAGGATGAGGCATGGAGGGATGTGATTATGTCAGTGACTGTAAGCACATGGCAGAGTCCTGACACCAACTAAGTGATTGTGTTTCTCTCCAGATGCTAGTGAGTGCTCCGTACAACGTCAGCAACTCGGCATCCTTCATCCGCGGACCTCGATAAGGCATCTGGCTGTTGAGCCAGCCGGTTGGATTCCGTGCAGGATCGAACAGAGGAAAAAGTTCGGATATCTTCGTACCCTGACTTCGCTGAGTGTAATGCGATGATGTTGATGATGGTGCGATGATGATGATGATGATGATGATGATGATGATGATGATGATAGACGGCACGAGGATGGGCATCATGATATTGATTTGCTAAGTTGAGCCAGCCAGTTGGATTTGACTGTAAGCACATGGCAGAGTCCTGACACCAACTAAGTGATCGCGATTCTCTCCAGATGCTAGCGAGTGCTCCGTACAACTCAGCAACTCGTCATCCTTCATCCGCGGACCTCGATAAGGCATCTGGCTGTTGAGCCAGCCGGTTGGATTCTGTGCAGGGTCGAACAGAGGAAAAAGTTCGGATATCTTCGTACCCTGACTTCGCTGAGTGTAATGCAATGATGTTGATGATGGTGCGATGATGATTATGATGATGACGATGACGATGATGATGATGATAGACGGTACGAGGATGGGGATGATGATATTGATTTGGTATGTTAAGCCAGCCAGTTGGATTCCTTGCAGGGTCGACCAGAGGAAAAAGTACAAACATCCTCAATACCCTGACCGCGCTGAGTGTAATATGATGATGTTGATGATGGTGCGATGGTGATGGTGATGATGATGATGGTACAAGGATGAGGATGATGATACTGATTGTGCTATGTTGCTGCGGTCGATGCTCTTTGTGTGTAGTTGTCAGAGCAGGACAGCTTGCTCTCCCAGACAAGCCATACAGATGGCCGCTGGTTGTGACTGTGTCGGATCTGGAGAAGCAGTACGCTCTTGTGTCTGCCAAGATTGAGCTTGCCAAAGGTTGCACCTCTCAGAAGTTACCAGGTGTGTGCACATGCTTACCCTCCTCCCCTTTTGGCTGGAATGTTGCAATGAACCCGGCTCTCAACGCTCACCACTCCAATACACTGCATTTCTAAAATTGACGCATGAAAGTCGATAGATAAGAAGATGATGATGGTGTAAAGAAGGAGAAGAAGGAGAGAAATGCAGAGACAACCTCAGACAGGTATATAATTTTCACTAAAAGTAAGCAAAGATTACGAAGCTCCAGGATTTTCTTCTCCGCTCGCCTCCCCACTCTCACCAACTAGCCCCTCCCAAACCAGCACCCAGCACTGCCCCTGTCTAGCCACGCTTATCGACAGTGTCCCTTGCGAAGCATTACCTAAAGCGCTAGCTTCCTCGCAACAAGCGCCTGTTAATCGGGCATATTAGAGCTGGGGACTACTCACCTGGTTCCATAGCCAGCAACTGTTACCCTCGGCCTTCACTTCCCATCCTGCTGCCGTTCAGACATCTTCCCTGGTGAGTACCAGACGCATCAGACAGACAGACAGAGAGAGAGAGAGAGAGAGAGAGAGAGAGAGAGAGAGAGTGGGGTTTGGGTGCTGAGACGGATGACACCAAGTTGTTTGAGTGACGAGCTATCCTGCGCTGGCCAGGGAAGGGCGGCATCCAGCATCAGCCCAGCGGCAGCCATGTCTGCGCTGAGGAACAAGACCTGCGCTATAGCCTGTCTGGGTGCTGAGAAGCTAGATGAGGTGGCGCTAGAAGTGGAAGGCCATGGCGGCAGACTTGGTGAGGGACCTAGCCGGGTGATGCCAAGTAGAGCTCCTCTGTAACGTGTTCCTCAAGCAGGAGTTGGTTGGTGCAGCACAGGACTCTGCGGCTTTGTACTTTGGAGTAGTCTGGGCGAAGCGTAGATGGAGTAGGTGGTCATACCTGCTGGTCGAAAGTCCAGCAAGGGATGAACAACGATCGTCATTGTTGTTGTTGTTGTTTTCTGCTCTTCCTTTATTGATTGTCGGGAGCCGGGACGGGGGCTGGCAATTCATCGTCAAAAAGATGTCAATGTTGCCAGTTCTTATGCTGATTTGATCATTCATTGATTTGGCGTTTCTGCTCGTACCATTTTCACCCGAATAGAATACCCAGTCTTTCTCACTGTCTCTAGATTCTAGACTAAAAGTTGCCCGGAATACGGCTATAAGGACTGTGCGTCCTATGTAAGGGAAATTGGTAGCCTGGTTGCCATATTCATGGCGACCAACAGAGTTCATGATGCTAGTCAATCTTCTTTTTTTTAATGAAAATGTCAAAATAATGCTTGTAATTCTTAGTGTGATGACGCGACCAAACACGGACTGAGACACACAGCTGATTTCTGAGTTTTGCTCACGGACTGAATGCCTTGTTTGAGTTTCCCGCTCGCTACTAAGTTCTCTAAGTCTGTGTGTGTGCAGGCTTGCTGGTCTGCATGTCTGTCTGAGTGCTTGTTGGCTTGAGTGTGTGTGTGACCCGCAAGGGCACTTGTTCGTTCGTTGGGCCCTCAGGGCCGGTACTTACCTGTGGCCGTGACATTGAGGATTGCAGCGGGGAAAACACTCAAGTGGCGGGGGAAGAGGCCCGCAACACTTGAAGCAGCAGGGAAACACTCAAGTAGCAGGTAGGCCGGTACCACACCCTGAAGAGGTAGATGTGCCGGGTACTCGAGGCCGAGCAGGAGAAGACAAAAGTTGGCATTTTTAGAGGGGCAGTAGTTGTAGGCTAGGTCTAGGCGGGTACCGGTCCAACCAGTCTGAGTCTAGGGCCTGTACGGGCAATATCAGAGTCTGCAATGATGTTTCCCTCTGAAAGGGAGGAGGTACCGGTTGCTTGGAACGCTGAGCGGCCTGGAAGTCACCGCCCAAGAGGTAAGCAGGTCGCTATATCTCCAGGCCGGGCGAAGAGCCCAGCCGCATTGTTGGTGTGCAAGTTTGGCGACACACTGGTTGGAGCGCTGGCTGGAGCAGCGCTTGCTTGGAGCAGCGCTGCTGGGGAAGGAGCAAGGACACGGAGGAGCAAGAAGACCAGGAGGAAGGCGGACCGCCAGAGGTACTTACCTGGCTATGGTGGTAGCCATCTTCATCACCTTGGTGGGCGCTGGACCAGGAAGGGCCCAGCTGGGGGTAGAGTCAGGCATAGCGGCCTGAGCTAGAGAAGCCATAGCTGCTTCGTGTTGTCCTTCAGAGAGCCGGGTCATGCCCAGGTAGTCTGCCATAGCCTCGGCCTAGGAGGAAGAAGGAGAGAGGCGGCCATTGCTATGGTGGGACCTCAAGTGATACCTGCAGTAGAAGAGGGATTCAGACATTGATTCTGGTTCAGCCATTCAACATTGTACTATTATTTCTTGTGAGAGAGGAGTAAAGGAGGAGGAGAGTGTTTGGTGAAGAAGAAGAGCTTTATCATTTGTCTATGCTGGTGTACATCATCTTCTTCTTCTTTCTTTCTTCTTCTTCTTTCTTTCTTCTTCTTCTTTCTTACTTTCTTCTTCTTCTTCTTCTTCTTCTTCTTCTTCTTCTTCTTCTTCTTTTTCTTCTTCGTCTTACCCTCCCTCTCCTCTTGAGTTCATTCATTTCCTTTTGCAATTGGATGGCATTATACTATCTGATGAATGTGCACTTCGAAATTGGCCAGGATCATAACATTAGAGTCTACTGAGCAGTTTTCTTGCATACAGGGATATGATAAGCTGAAGCTACTTCTGTGTCTTTTTCTTTTTTTCCTTCCCTTGTGTAGGACCGGATGCGACGCCGGCTGAGGTTGTGTGGTCCCTTTGCCAGTGTGGAATGTTCGACACTGCATTCTCTCTTGTCTTTCTCTTCTGGAGGGACTCGGCACTTTCCAGGTATGGTTGATTACTGTTTTTTTTTTTTTTTTTTTTTTTT